GAGGCGATAGAAATCGAAATTTCTTTTTTCGTATATGGAAGTACCCAATGGATTGCTGCTGTTTTCTTTTTTCAGGCTTCCATAGAAGCAAACTTTTCAGAAAACGTGTATTTTACAGGCTTACACCTTGTCCCCCGCCGTGCTGGATCATCAACGCGAGCTACTGGTATGTGTGGCAGATCTGCCTCCATGCGATCTCCAGCCTTCAACGAGACCAGAGCACTCGGGCGACTCACTTGTACTTCTCATGACGAATAAGCGCTATTCACAAGCCTTACACACGCTCAGAGCTCTTCGGTAGGTTGTCGCTTGCCATGTCTTTTTTGGATGCTACCGCATTGTTGTTTGCGTAGAGCTGCAGTCACTGATCGCACGCTAATATGCAAATTTGTGTAGCGATTATGCTCTCGGCTCTCTCGGCTACTTACCGATTATGGAGGGCGGCCGGTAGATTGCCGCCACTATGCGTATGTTTGTCGACGTGTTGGTGATTGAGTGGGTCAAGTGGATAAGCTTAAAGTCGAGTTAACAAGACTCCCGTTCTTGTGTTGTTCTATGCACTGGGAGCTTATTTCTGGGACACTGCGGCTCAGCCAGTTCTATCAAGTGTTCCCTCGCTAACAGTGCAGCTTACAGGGGACCAGCGCTTGTCGTGCTACTACCTGCGTGGCTGTGTTGTGTGTGAGATCATAGCGCGTCGCTTGTGGAATTTCGCGGATCATTATTTGCGAGATACTTGTGCGCACAGGAGAAAAGAGGATTGTGTGAGCGGCGCTTAGTTGATGAACTGGCACTAAACAAAGTCGCGCCCAGCATACGTGCTCCTGCAGTTACAGTAACGTAGAATAGTCCAATTTTGGTTTTAACTCTGTTCCTTCCAGGATGGCGTTTGGACCCGAGTTTGGATGTTGTGAAGCAGCTGACATTGACGTACTGCTGCTACTCTTCTGCCGAAGTCACTCTTTGAAGGCTTGGGCATTGGTTGGCGCTGCATCAGAGGCACTACGACGACAGAGTCAAAGTCTCCGCGATGCAAATGCAGATGTAGCATCAGCTGTTCGACGCTTGGCATCAGACAATGTCACCTCCCATAGGGCGTCAACTGCATCCTCTTTGACAGAATCTTTTCAGAAGATTTCCTACTTACCTGATTGAAACAACTTTGTAGAAATTTCCACTTATTATTGCAAATCTAATGACGAGTGCAGTTTTTTTCCCGATTGTATTACATAGTCAGAAAATCTGTTAAGTACTACTAGAGCAGAATTCTACTCGACAAAAAAAAAACGAAATTTTTAAAAGTACCCTTAATTGATAGTTTTTGCTCTTTAACAAGTCGCAGGTCGATGCTTCCCCTTTTTACGTCTTACTCTGTCTTGTGCTTGGCGTATTTTTCTAGGTCGCAAGTTTTAGTGTACAAAATGTGCAAAGATGTGTTAAATAAATACGTTCCTTGATAGCAAATATGTGAAACAAACACGCTAGTGATTCGTCGCACCGGTTCCCCACTACGGGGCATACTGTAGAGGTTGGATAATAGTCAATGAGGTGAGAGCGCGTGTGGACGATGATCGCACGAGGCGTTAGCGCGCCTGACGATTAGCAACACTAGATATG